GTCAGCACACTGATCAACTCCTGGGTGGACTATATGTATGATAGTCTTGGCAAATTGTCTATTTGGCCACACAGGGATGTTATTTCTGAGAACATGCCAGCTAAATTTAAGGAAGAATTTCTGAATACTTTTGCCATCTTACACTGCACTGAACTTAAGATTCAGAGACCAAGCTCACTAGTGTTTCAGAGTCAGATTTACTCCACCTACAAGTCTACTAACACCCTTAAGTCTCTAGTGGCCTGTGATCCACGAGGTGCAGTCATTTATGTGTCTGCCCTCTTCACCGGAGCAATTTCTGACAAAGAGATTTTCAATGAGTGCAACATCCTTGACATTTTGAAGGGGTACATTCAGTGTGGCTATCTCAATGTAGGAGATGGCTTGATGGTTGATAAAGGCTTTCTAATAGAGAAGGAAGTTGATGAGATTGGTTTGCAACTTAACATTCCACCTTTTGCAAGAGCAAACAGACAGATGCCACATGCAGATGTTGAAATGACCAAAAGAATAGCCAAGCACAGGGTTCATGTTTTAAAACTATTGCAAAGATTAAGAAGTTTAAAATTGTGTAAGGTCAAATCCCGATTTCCCGGCTTGTGAACATAAATCAAATATGGTATGTAGTCAGCATGCTGTCTAACTTCCAGCCACATATCATCAAAGATTAAGGTTGTCTGTGTAGAAGAGCTGAGTGGTCAAGGATCACGCTGACGTGGTGCACTGCCCTGTACATACAAGTTGAGTGAATTTCATATAAAGTACACAATAAAGAATATCTACTTTAATACTGCTTCATCTATTCTCCTTAATGTAGTCTTGCCAACATTTTAAAACTGTTCACTGTTAATTTTAACTATTGCATTGTTTTTACTTGTTTGTCACTTTGGACAAAAGCGTCTGCCAAATCCCATAACTATAACCATAAACATAATTTTCAACTTACCTGCTTCCTGCATACCGACAGTTGATTGGTCGCCGCATACGGTTTTCATTGGCTGTAGTGACAACTACAGATGATATTGGCACTGCCCTTATTTTGTGCCACTGCTGCGGTAGACATGTGCAGGAGGACTTTGTTTGTGTTGTTGATGATGTATGGCTCGGCTCAGCATCTCTGGCTCGTGCCAGGTCCAAGGCATAGATTAGACCCATGACTTGTGAGCAGTAGCCTGGCACGCTAAAAATATAAGCGGGAGAATGTTATCATTGCAAAGTGGTCAGGCTAATGTCTTGTGTTTATTCCACAAGATTTATGGTCGACAAATGCCCGAAATCGGTGGAAAATCTGTGCTCGTTCATGCGAGTGACAATCACGCTGTGTGAATTATCAAAGATGTGATCTGAGGGAATCGCCGATGCGTCACCGACGCCCGCGAAATATTTGGCATGCAAAATATTTGGAGCTATCGATGATTCAATCATGCTGTGTGAAATGAGTTCTGAGTGAAAAACACATCGGCGATGACCTACAGCTAATGAGAGACCAAGATACAGGGCAGTGGTAAGTTCGGGGAGGAGTTATATGAAACGTAGTTTGCGGACCAGTGTTGCCAAATCCGCGATTGCCGCCGATTGTTTTTTGTCAGCAGGCTGAAGCGACCCCAATAATGTGATATTTAGGCCCTGGAATGTGAATTGTACCTGGAGAACTGTGCCAAAAAAATTTATTTTACCCCCCGAACACGATTTTTACTAGGGGACCCCCTCGAAAGCAATTGGGGTTTTTTCAGGCTAGTTTTGGGTAGTAATTGGGGGGATTTTGTAGTGAAAACCTGGCAACCCTGCACCAGACAGAGCTGTCGGCGATTCTTCCTATTGTGAAGTCATGCAGTGTGAGACCTCCTGTCGTCGTTCCATCGTGCAATGTGAACACAGCAGCAACTGAATGCTACCCCAGGTACTCACGCAGTGTGAAAACAATGGCGATCTGACGAGTTTGAAAATCATGCAGTGAACTCGGCATACGTGTCAGATAAGAGACATACAAAATGTGCAGAGTGGGGGTCCCTGGGACTGGAATTGAGAACCACTGCAATAGAAAGTTCATATTGAGTTTGAATGTCGTGAGCCAATCAGGAGGCATTTTAATGGTCTCAGTTGGAGGCGGGACTCAGAGCGTGCGCAGTTTGACTGTGTGACCCGGATGTTGAGAGCTGCGTCAGCAGAAACCGCCTCCGAGGAGAGGAACCGAATAGTTTTAGTAAATATTGTGAATGTTTTTCAATACTCGTGTTTCTTTAGTTTATCACTTGTGTAATTTTATTTTCTTTACTTTTGCATTAAGACTTGATGCTGTAACATTCTGAATTAACTTGTTTAATTATATTCACAAATGGTCGGAGGATTAGTGATCGCTTTCTCGGAGGTGTTAGGTCTCAGATGGGTGAGTAACGCTGTGCTCTGCACTGTGAGTGTATAATCCATAATATGGGCACTTTAATTTGACTAAAGCTCAATTTGTTAAACCCTTTATTCAACATCAATGTTGTTCAAATTGTATAAACTGAATCTGATTTAAAGGCATTGATGCAAGTTATTCTATAGAGTCACTGTGTGCAGTAATTATTTAAAATGTCATTGTCAGCAGTTAGTGTAAGTCCATGAATTCTGGAATCAAAGGAAAAACATTGGTTATTTAAAGTAATTTTATGTATCATCATTAGATTGGGGTTTAGTGTCAAAATACAAAGGAGTTATTTAGCCAATTTCCGTGCATTTAAAATGTTGAGTTTGTTATCCACTTTAAATGGATGGTTAAAGCTCAAGTAGTATTAAGGGGGTTTTACAATCTCTGTGCCAATGTTTTGCTATTCTTTAAAAGTTTCCTTTGTCTTTCTATTTAGCTGCTTTCTCACAGATTTATAAATGTTAAATTCTTGAAAGTATAACATACTTAACATTTGTAATCACAAGTCCAATATGCATCTAAAGCTTTTACAAAGGGACAATAAACATACAATTTCTCAAGAGTGATTTTTGAAGGGGACACAAATTGTACTTATAAGGATATGTATACACAGTGGAAAGCCTTACTACTATTAGTGCAGCAGGGAGACCGTGCCAAATTGGACAACATCAAGCTGTTGTGGTCACGCCGAGACAGTGCTAGTGTCCGTTGTATCGTCACGGTGTTGCAAGGTCTGTGGTTTTCCTGTGGAATTAGGCTACTTTATCACTGTTGCCACGGGATGTTTTTCATGTCCGCGGGTTGAAGCAACCCCAATAATGTGTATTTTTAGCCCTCGGAAAGCTTTTTTTAAAAATTTTTTTTATATAATTTACTGGGGGACCCCTCGAAACACGGTTAGTTTGGGCTAGTCTTGGGTAGCAATTGTGGGAGGGTTTTGTTGTTGTAAAAAAAAAAAAAAAACTGGCAACCCTTTTCGTCAAGCAGGTAACGCTATTATTGCTAACATAGCGACTCATTGAAAAATACATTGGCATCAACTGTATTAAAGAGAAAATAATAACTTCATCCAATGTTTAAGTGAATAAAATAGCCTTGACAGCCTTTGAGTTCCACAACTATTGACTTTGTTCTCTCACCGGACTCGTGTGTGTAGGTGATGTAAAAGAGGAAACGCAGGCATTTGGAGTCAGACCAAAGCACTGTGAGGCAAGGAAAGGGAGACTCAAAATGTTTCTAAACTCAACGCATTTTGTTTTCCCCGTTTGTAGTGTTTTACAAGTATAAAACATTGGTGTTTACAATACACAGACTGTTTTTAATCACATTTTTAGGGGGGACAACCCTCAGATGGGGGGGGGGCTCCCCCCCCCCCCCCCCCCCCCCCCCCCCCCCCGACCCCCCCTGGGATTTCCGCCTGTGGTTGTAGAGATGGTTGATTCATGGCTGCACTGATAAGTGCTTGTTAATGTCAGTTTACCTCTTGTGATTGTATTAAGTTCTCCATGTTTGCTGTGCTGGATTCTGTCTGTTTGAATCTACTTTGGTTTTTCTACTATATATTTCCTAAATGTTGTTGCACTATCCTGTCTGTCAGTCCCAAAGCTAACTTCGTTCCAGCTGTAGGCACAAGCTGTTCATGATGGGCTCGACCTGAGACCTGGATTCTCAACCAAGAGAGAATCCAGCTCTCAAGCAAAATCCGCGCCGTGAGCTTTTTAAAAAAAAATTATTATATATATTTTTTTTTATACTCTTAGAAGCCACTCATTGACTTTGACGTCCCTCTTGATAAGTCACATGCTACAGAATTCTGAGGTTTTTTTCTTTACTTTTAAATGGCTCCCTTTAACTCGGATGGATCTGATTTACAGTTAACTCACCATGTTTCAGTTCAACCCGGAATTTGGAATTGGAATGGATTTTCACCTGGAAAATCAACAGATGCTGAGGTGAGTTGTCCTGTGATTTCTTAACAACATTGTGTATTTGTCTGTTTTTTGGGTTGAGCCATGTTCCCAAAAAGCCTTGTGGTGGAGGTCATTTCTTACCTGCATGTCTTTCTGCTCCTCACCCTCGGTTTCCAGATGTAGCTTTGCTTATCTTTAGTTGACTGATGTATATTTGACAAGAGGACACATCAACACTCTGTTCTCCACCAGCTTTACTCTTCAGTAAGTACTTTTGAGTTTCATGCGATTTGAGACTGATTGACTGACTGATTTTATCACCTCATGATTGGATCATTTACATTTAACTTTTATTACGGTGTAAAAAAAAAAAAAAAGTAATTCTCTTCCCAGTGAGATTGACAGTGCTGTTTTTTTCAGTACTATTGTTTTTCAATATTCTTCTGGAAATTGTTCCTTAGATGAATCCTCTTGAGACTGACTTGGAATCTTCAAGGTTTATAACTACTTACATCAGTCTCTTTACTGGGTTGAGTCGATGTTAGGTTTGGAACTTGCTGAGGAGCAGAACACCGGTCAGAGTCAGTCACCTGCAGGTGCAGATCAGTGCTGTTTGAGCTC